TGTGTGTAAAACAAGAGAAGCAATTTTATATTCCATCCAAAATCATGTGTGTATTTATCTTCTTGATATACAGATTGTATTTTGTTTTGGCGGGGAAGCTTTTATTTTCTTAACCCACTGGATGTCATTTCCGTGTTGGCGCTCTTTTCCCTCAGTTCGCGCTTAGCTGCGCTTGGGAGAGGTGAGTGAGTTGAGTTGTGTCGCATATGAATGTGTTAATGTTATAGAAAACACTTTCAACTTGCATTAATTAACTCTACAGCTTGTTTAATGTTGTTATCCATCCATTTAGGGGTTTTATTTTATCAGTGCAGTGTTTGTACGTTCATGTAACCTTTAACAGGCTCCTGCGCCATTGTGGTTTCTTTTTGTTCTTTATTGAAGGTGTTTGTGATGAAACCTGTGTTACCGAAGTGCTGCACTGAAAGTATTCTTGTTTTAAACAGGTATGTAAGTGAGTTTTGCATTGGTTGGCTGTAAAATATATTGTATCCACGGTTGTTAATATTTTAGTGCCAAAGTTTTGTTGGCAGTTTGTTCTATAAATTATACACAAAAAATAAGTTATCAGGCAGATTTATTTTTTTTTTGGTTTATGTGCAGTATTTTATTTTAAGATTCTCCAGTAAAATAGTGATTTGATTTTATTGAGAATTGTAAGGAGTTCGCGCTTAGCTGCATTTGGGAGAGGTGTTTTTGAGGAGACCTGTGTTACCGAAGTGCTGTACTGAAAGTATTCTTGTTATAAACAGAATAAACCTGCCTGATTGGCTGCAACCCTGTGGTGGTTCTTGTCTGCTGGCCCCTTGGTCCACGACACACAACACAGAATACAAAGAGACAAGGGAGGGGTCGGCTACATTAGCCGTTTAGCTAGCTGAGTGAGGATACACGGGAGGTGCCTTGTAGCCTAGCCTTGGTCAAAATTACCCAGAATACACCGCAGCATTTTCAAAAGGACGGCGGATCAGAAGCCGGCAGCTACTTCGGGGACAATATTCAAGTTTAAAAGTAAGTCAGCTAATTTAAAATGTTTTTTTTAGACACAAAGAAGTTATCTATGGTTGGTTAGTAGCTTAGTAGTTGCAGCTTCGGTGGCTAGCGGGTAGCAACTTGCTTATATATTTTTATTTAATAAACATACACACAATGTAAAAAGTAAAAGAATCGTTATATATTCATATTGAAACTAATACGTATAAAATATAACGTTTTCTCCCGTGTCACGTGACCGCCGTGGAAGCCACGGTCACGTGATGCATATTTGTTCAATTTAACCGTTTTCTTTGTCCAAGGAAGGACCGTGTCCTCGTAAGCAAGGCGCTTGGCCTCGCAAGACATCGCCTCGCAAGGCCAGGCGCCTGGACATTGAGAAACACCCTAGGTTTTCCTTGCCAGGTTCCCTGCCCCTCATAGCATGCGGAGGAAGGAATAGTGGGAAGACCCGGAGCACTCGGGACTCTGATCCAGGAAATGGCTGCGGGCAGCAGCCAGAAAGCTCCGGAGCAACCAGTGGCTCCGCCCACTAGCCTGCCCATGGAACCGCAACAGAGCAGAGATTGGAAAGTAGAGGGATTTTACTAATTCATGCTGTTGGACGAAGCGTCCAGACTGAACCAAACCCCCCGAGTGGTGTTGTTAGAAGGGTGTTGCAGTAGTCAAGGTGGGAGTTGGGTTTGTGGGCTTAACTTTTGCGTGGCTCTGGTAGAATCAAACAGCCTAAAGAACATGGTCGCAATTGCCTTGTTAACTTTTTGAATGCGATCTCGATGAAGAGTGTGTTCAGTGTTCTGGATTGTGATTAAATCAACCAAGACTGAACCTGAAACGGTTAATAAATAATTGGTATTATCTCAGATCAGAGACCGGCTGAATATGGTTTTCAGTCCTGATGCTGATCTTCCGAAATCATGATGTGACTGATTTATGGAGCTGGTTGGTGTTTTTGTTTTGTGCTTTAAACTCAGCGATTTGAGGTCCATCCACAGGAGATATCCGGGTAAATATTTACAGCAGGTTGTGTGAGAATGCCAAAGCTTTTCATAATGACACGTTTCATCGAGTTACGAACCAAGTGGATTTAGAGTAATTAAAACTCCTTAAGAGTCCAACTGAAATTAAAAAGCAGATTGTTAATAATACACAGCCTGAAGCTAAGAGTGTAATGCTAGTCTACTAGTGAGGACTTTGGTTGGAGTCACATTAAAACAAAGTTAATGACACAACAACGGGTGCACATTTTCTCTTACTTAAACACTAAAACTAATCCTAATGGGCTCGACACACGGGAGGCGACGTCGCCTCTCCTCCATTCATTTTCAATGAGACATGCGCGACAAAGCGATAATCGCGGGTCTCCCTCCTACCAAGCGAAACGCGAAAAACGTGCGTGTGAAATTTTGCGCTCGTGCACGTGTCGTGCACAGACGACCCAGCGACGCAATCCCAGAAAGTTGAAATATTTTCAACCTTTCACCGCTGTCGCTCGGACGAGGACCTATCAACGGAGGTTTCATTCACTGACCAATGAGCGGGCAGGATGCTCCGTACACCTCCGAGCAAACATGGAGGAGAAGTTGATCCTTGCTGTGACGGATTTCCCAGAACTGTACAATATTTCTACCAAAGATTATAGAGATAGTCAAAAACGGCTATGGCGTGGGTCCCTCATTAAATGATGGTATTCTCCGGTTCTTTCTCTGGTTTGTAATATGGGATGAACCCATTCTCGGGTTTTTTTTATGTAGTAAAATCAGAAGCAAGATTTCACATAACTCCAGCAGCACCTTGTGAAACATCATATCTACCGTTTTATTAACTCTGAACCGCTTAAATAACCTTAATTCCCTCCAACCTGACACAGCCAATCAAAACGGATTATTTGATTTTGCCATGGAGCAGAACGCGTCGACGGCTTTGCCGCTGCCGCGGTTCGCCTCCCGTGTGTCAGGCAATAGAAGCGACGGCGACGAATTTCGCTGATCGCGGTCGTTTGTCGCCTCCCGTGTGTCGAGCCCATTAGAGTGTGCTGCTAAATGAAAATGTATGTATTTCTTTGAAATTTGTCTCCAACAGTCTCAGCCTTGTGAGATAGAAGCTAAATAGTAAAACACAAGAGAGGTGTTCCCGGCTTCCTATAGAGCTCCGGGAGTTGACGTCACTTCTCCCGGCGTGCAACAGTTCAAATCGAAACGGCGCCATATTGGCATGCAGAAGCCGGCAGCTGGACTATTTGTTATTGTCAGAAAACTCAATCAAACAGGAAATATGGTAGATTCCTGTTGTGCCCCAGGATGCAGAACAGACGCGGACGACATAAGGAATGAGCCATCTACAGGATTCCCCAAGATCCGGAGTGCCGCAAACGTTGGATCATTGTAATAAAACGCACTAGTGACCGGGTGAAAATGAAGCTGTGGGACCCCGAGAGTAAAGGTTTTCACTTATGCAGCGACCGCTTCATATCAGGTACTTAAACCAACGTTTCCTCAACTGTGTGGTATTTATTTTAAATGCTTTTATTATGTTTCTTAGTGGGCTTCCTAAACTTATTTTGGCGTGGCTTTTTCTGTCTTATTACTCACAGTAACAAGTAAACGTCACGTAAAACGTTGCCTCGTGAGTTCTGCGTGCTGCCGTTTACGTGTTTTATGATCACAGCAATTAACCGGCTAAGCTGTATTTCATTTTTAAGCAATGGTTGATCAATTGTCAGATCACACATAAAAAGCACTTTGGATTGCCATTATCTGTCTCACCGAGACTACTTACGTGTAAATCTGTTATTTGTCCGTCCATCCATCCATTTTCATCCGCGTATCCGGAGTCGGGTTGTGGGGGCAGTAGCGTGACTTCCCTCTCCCCAGCCGCCGGAGCCAGCTCCTCCGGGTAAATCCCAAGGGGTTCCCCGGTCAGGTCCTGTGCTGTGCCGGTAAGAAGCCCGCTCCGACAGCTTCTGGCGTCGGAGCGGGCAGTAGAGTCGAGAGTCCCAGACCTTCTCCCCAGCTCCTCCGGCCGGGGGAATCCCAAGGGGTTTCCCCGGTCAGGTCCGGTGTTGTGCCGGTAAGAAGTCCGCTACGACAGCTTCTGGCATTTTTAAAAAGTATCCCAGGGGCACGGTAAGGGTCGGAGATGTTCAGTCTATTTAATTTCTGACTATATAAAACGATTTATTCTGTTTTAAAGTGTGAAGTAAACTCCGACGAAGTAAAATCCAAGCGGATCCCGTTCATGTTCATGGTTACATCCGTGTTTGTTTACTTTTTTTGCATGCCAAAATGGCGTCCACTAACTGAGAGTCACGTGGGGTCCGGAGCTCTATTGGACCGCTTCTCGTTTAAACAAAAACAAAAGATATCCCCTTAACGGATCTGACTATGAGTGAGTTAAATGATAGCATATATGTCGTTTTGGCTTGTCAATAATCTATATTTTTATTACAATTTAGAACCGTGTTCATCGTGTCCTTAGAGGAACGTTGGTGCTACTTTAAATGGGATCTCTGGTGTGGTGGGTTTCAGGAACCATTTACTTCTATGAGCCGTTTGGAAATTTCTGTCAATGCTTAGAGAGACTCCTGCTTTGGACGTAGAGGAGAGTCGCGGCTCTACTCTGAGCAAATATCACAAATATCTGAGCTCCTTCACTTCATAACAGCCAGTCGGGTGATGGGTGGGTGTGGCCAGCAGCAGCTTACTAGCATTAATGTGACGGAGCCCTGAAGCGGCTCATTCTGGAAGGTAGTGAAACTGTCGAGAATAAAACTGCTGAGATGACTTCATGTGAGAGGGACTCGGGGCAAACATAAACATGTTTTTATCCACTATCGAACTATTATTGTAACGTGTTTAAACGAGGGTAAAATACGGCCCCTTTGAAACATCTCCACTTTCTCACGATGAAGCTGAAGGGTTAGGGTTAGTGCCACCATGCAAATCCTCCGTTGTTAATGTGCTGTCCTGGACCAGAACTCATGGCTGACTGTGGTTCTGACTTGGTAGAGGTGCCTGGAGACTGTATTGGTGGGTGGGCCCCAGGAGTCCTCCAGGCAAGCCAGGACTGTCACTGTGAGAGAAGCGCGGCCTCCGCCTCCAGCACTGCCACCACCATGGCCAGGGAGCAGCCCAACGTGGGAGACCTCCTCCCACTCCTGGAGACCTCCGACCTCCAACAGCTCGAAGCGATCCGAGGCCTTCTCAACGAGCAGCTCAGCACTGGTGGGATGGCGGTTTTGTTTAAATCAAGCTAATAAGTTAGATTTCTGTGTAAATGTCCTTGTTGTCGTTTCCCTCTCAGAGCGAGGCTCCATGCTGCTGAACGGGCTGGTGGATTACTTTTTGGAAACCAACTCCGCCCAGGCCCTGCATATCCTCTCTTCTGTCAGAGAGCCACACGATAAGGTGACATGTTCATTCAACAACTAATCTTTCATCTGAATTATCCACACACTTTCAAACCTTTATTCTCATTAAAATTTTAGTTCTACAACCAAAGATAACGTCTTTCTGCACTCAGACCTTGATCTTTACGGTTTCCCTTCAGTAGTGTCTGTGTTCGATACTCCGCTAAACCCACCGTCCCTCCCCCCACAGCACCTTCTAGACAAGATGAACGACTGTATGACCAAACAGGCCTGCCGGCTGCCCACCCTCCTGCTGCTTGGCCATGTAGTCCGCAGGCAGCCGTCCTGGATCCACAAGGTTGCTCGTTACCCTCTGCTGCTCTCTCTGCTCAAATGCCTGAAGGTAACAACTACGATACGACTCGGCGACCAAAGCAGTGAGTGTTTGGTGAAAAGCTGCTGTGGAAGTGGACGTTGGAACCTTCTGTGTAGAAAACATGTGTTTATTATGGAGAAAGCAACAGAAATGTCCTGAAATGTGTCAACAGATGTCCTCCTCAGGTCAAATCAGGATCCACTGAAAGATTTTGACTCCCCGTTTAGGTTCTTGTAAAAAATCAATTTATCCACCATAAACAGAGAAAAGGCCCTGCAGGGTTGTTGCCTTGCAGTGAAACCGTCACACCGCTGATGTTTGATGCCGTGCACGAAGGTACAGATAAACAACTAGTGAGAGCTGTAACCATGTGATGAGCTGTGCTGCACAGACCAAACCAAACGTGAACGGGTTCGGAAATAAAGGCGTTCTTCAAACAGTTTCTGTCAAATCTAAGAGTGTCCACCTGTAAACTTTCTTTGATTTAGAAACTGGGATGCATGAAAACTTTTCTCACTTGATGTGTTTCTGTTTTAAACCTAAACTCTTAATTTCCTGGCAGACGGACACAGATGTAGTAGTGCTGATAACCGGAGTGCTGGTGCTGATCACTCTGCTGCCGATGATTCCTCAAGCTGGGAAGCAACACCTGTGGGAATATTTTGACATCTTTGGCCGACTGGCATCGTGGAACCTTAAGAATCCAGGTAGAGATGTCTCGGTCCATCTATAAAACAATTCATGTTTGTTAGCCGCTTCAGTTAGCTGTGGGCTGGATGATGCATCAGACACACGGGATATGTTTAGCATTATTCCTGGTGTGATCTCTTAAACTGTTACTGCTGAGTAAAGGTGGAGTTTAAGCCTCCTAATGCAACGATATTGGACTTAGGTGAAATTGCCCTCAGCCTTTTTAAGCCACCATTAAACATGTGCTGCTTTCAGAGATGATGTGTAGCGTTAAAGGGGGCATATTACGCCAAACTCACCTTCGGCATGCTTTCATGCTGCCATGTAGGTCTCTACTGCCTCTTTAAACTCCAAACGTGAATAAAAAATGTCAGTGTGTTTCAGGAATTATGTGCCTAAAACAAGCTGTTTCAAAATGTCCCCATTTGTGATGTCACAATAAAAGAAATCAGCACAAATCCCGCCCTCACCTGTCTATGCTGGAGGAGCAGCGGCTCTAATCAGAGCGCTTAGCCTGGCGGGTGACCAGCGGGAAACCCTGCTGTCGTCTGGATGACTTGTACTTCCTGAAAGAGCCCCCCCCCCCCCCCCCCCCCCCCAGTACAACTTGCATTCATCCCTACTAGAGACCACTGCAAATGTATTGATTAAATGAGTGAACTACATCTTTAAAGTGACAAACGTACTGAGAATAAAACAGCTTCACGTGAGAGGGATTTAGTTCACAGAGCGCCATAGATGTGTTTTGTAAAGACCGTAGAACGACTGAACTTAATAAATTCATAATGAGTCTCCTTTTAAAGGCATACTGTGCAACTTTTCCTGTTTTTAAATCATTTTCCTGAAGAAGAAAATATCATTTCTCTAGCGCCTCTCAAGATAAAAATCACGAGGCGCTTCACAAAAACAAAAAATGTAAAAATATACTTTTAATTAGAAAATGATTAAAAATGTATTTTTTAATGAGCACAAATAGGCAATTGCGATTTAAAAGAAAAAATGTTAAGAAAGAGAGAGAGTGAACAGGAAAGAGGGAAACCAGTGGATCCTGAGGAAGGTGGAATAGGTGGGGAGAGCAGAATAAAGAGAGAGAGGTGAAGAAGGTCATACAAAAGCCAGCTTGAACAAGTGAGTCTTCAGCTGCTTTTTAAAGGAGACCACTGAGTCCACTGATCTCAGGCTCAGGGGGAGAGAGGTCCAGAGTCTGGGGGCCACAGCAGCAGGTGATCTGTCACCTTTGACCTTTAGCCTGGTGCTGCCCAACCTGTAGGCTTTGGTCACTGGACCTCAGGGACCTGCTGGGGGTGTAGGGACTAAGAAGATCACCAATGTAAGATGGTGCTTGTCCATGTAAGGCCCTATAGACCAGAACCAGGATCTTGAAATGAACCCTGAAGTTGACTGGCAGCCAGTGAAGCTGGAGGAGAAGCGGGGTGATGTGGGTGTGTTTGGAGGACTTGGTCAGAAGCCGAGCACAGGCGTTCTGAACCACCTGTAGACGGTTCAGGGAGGTTCTGCTCAGACACGTGAAAAGAGAGTTACAGTAGTCTAAGCAAGGCCAGTATGTGCTAAAATGACCCTTTACAGGGTTAATGAAACTACTCAGACCCCACTGTGGCCAGAATACACTTGCAGCTTCAGATAATGAGATAACAAAGATCCAGTTGTGGTTTTAAATTCGGCCCCTCTTCTTGTTTCCCTTCTGGGAGCTTTTTTAATCAGACATTCGTGGCAACCAGCTCAGTGGCCTAGTGGTAGAGTGTCCGCCCTGAGACTAGGAGATCAGGGTTTGATTCCTGGTCGGGTCAGACCAAAGCCTTAGAAAAAATGGGACCCAGTGCCTCCCTGCTTGACACTCCGCATTAAGGAGTTGGATGGGGGGGTTAAACCACCAAATGGTTCCTAATTGCAGTTGTGTCTGCAGCTCACCGCCAGAGGCGGATTTAGCAATTTGGGGGCCCAAGGTGAACACAGACATGGGGCCCCTTACACTAAATTTTCGACAATCTTATCTTTAACTGGATTTGCGAAACTCTCCTCTCTTCTGACACGACTTATCTTCCCTTTTTATTAGTCCTCCTCTTTTTTCCTGTATTTCTCTCCCTTTGAGCGCTTTCTTCTTCCTGTCAGCGCTCCTGTGCTTTAGCCTTAGTTATTTTTTTTTCTATTTTCCATTCTGGTCTATGTTTTCCTCCCTTAAAACATTTTCCGTTGTCTTTCCTTTCTGCTTCCTTTGATGTTTACATAGAAAAATGACGTCACTTTCAGACGTGAAGATAAAAGCTTTTATGAAGCACGCTTATGAACGCTCCGCCTCTCTTCTTCTTATTTGTGGTCTTATGGCACTTGGCAAACAACAATTTGGTGTATTACCGCCACCAACTGGATTGGAGTGGAATGACTACCAACCACTTCCTGTTTGTGCATCGCCGTCTTAATAACCCTCTTATGACCATAATTATAACAGGGCCGTCTGGTATTTTTTTTATCTTATGGCTGTAAAATTGTAATAAAAAGTACAAAGTGTGTGTAACTCTTCTCCTTTTTTCAGAACAACCTCAGCTTTCAGTGTATGGTTTTTATTTAGAATTTATTTCTATTAAAGCCTTTAAAAAATCAGCTTAAAAGTGAAAAAAGCAAAAAATGGATTTGAGTTTTTTACATTTATTACTGAACAGGAACTTCAAAATTACTGGGCAAACACTTTAAACTTTGAACTGAAATGCATCTATTCTTAAAAAAGTTTGAACCTTGGTGTCTTTTTTAGCTGTTTTTAAGACCTTTTATTTTTGTTAACTTTCAGACGTTTTTATTTGATGTGGTAGACCTTGAAGCAGTTTCTCTCCAGCTGCAGGCAGAGTCCTGCACACCTCACACCGCCATGGGGTGCTTCTCTGGCACACCGTGCTGCTATACCAAAAACTTTTGTTTTAGCAAAAATAATTATTTATTGTAAAAGGATAAATAATGCTGGAATGAAGCTGAATCTTACGATTAGCAAATAGTTGAGGGTTGTTCAAATAAAAAAATAAAGACTGAACAAACATTCATACCCTGGTTCACCGGAGATCTGTCCTTCTTCGTGGTCACTGTCTTCAGATATAAGCCTTCTGGGACACCTAATAGATCGTGCTGATTTTCTTTGAGGCATTTCCATAATTTCATGCTGGTTTTTATGCTAATTAGCTTCCCCGTTCCGATATCCGCTTCCACCGCGGCGCTGCGCTCCGTTTCAATCAGGCTGTACAGCAGGATTTCCCCTCGTAGCGATATTTTCCATAACTCTGATTGCTTCATGCTATAGATCGTTGGAAAGCTGCTTTTATGTACTGTTAGGATCCGTTGGAATTCCCTGGATCTGATCAGCCATTCAAAAGTTATAAAACAGAGCATTTTGGATGACAAACTCAGCACGTCTCTGAATCTTTGTTGTGATTCGGTGCGCTCCAGACAGGGAATCCCGGTGGCTACCGTAATGTCTTGTATATGCACGAAAAGCCCCATTTTTAATCTTTTCAGCACTTCTGGAATTTTAATGATATCTTGGAACGGTTCAGGAATGATGGTAATGAGACGTGCGCATGTCCAATCCCGTCAGCGGTGACAGGTTGGTAATAAGAATGTTGTGGCATTAACAGAGGGGTGCCGGCGGTCAGGGCTAGGGCCCCCCCCAACACAAGGGGGCCCCAGGCGGCCGCCAACCTATGCCTAATGGTAAAACTGCCACTGCTCACCGCTCCCCCAGGGGGTGGGTCAAATGCGGAGAACAAATGTCACGCACACATCAGTGTGTGTGACTACTAATGGGACTTTTACTTTAACTTGTTGTGTAAAACATTTTTCTCCACATCCAGGCCACGTTTCAGAGGTGTACCTAATCCACCTGCACGCCAGCGTCTACTCGCTCTTCCACCGGCTCTACGGCATGTACCCGTGTAACTTTGTGTCCTACCTACGCTCCCATTACAGCATGAAGGAGAACATGGAGACCTTTGAGGAAGTGGTGAAGGTAAGATTATTACAGATGCTTCTGCACTCTTTGTGTTGGACAATGGTTGATAACATTACTTCTAACCCTTCAGCCGATGCTGGAGCACGTCCGAGTACATCCCGAGCTGGTGACGGGAACAAAGGACCACGAACTCGACCCGACTAGGTAAACTTTCATGCTGCTCTGCTTTCTAAAAGTCAAATTTGACTGCATCTAGCTGATGATGCCATGCTTTTCTTTAGATGGAAAAGGTATGAAATCCACGATATCGTCATTGAATGTGCCAAAGTGTCCCTAGACCCCAAGGAGGCCTCCTGCGAGGAGGGCTACGCCACCATGCCAGAAAACTTTTACCCCCAACTCCACCTGCGACCACAGGACTGCACTTCAAGCCCATACACAGACCTCCACAGCAGCTATGGTTAGAAAACTCCAAATACGTAAAGATGCTGTAGGACGTGTTGCTTATGAGCCATATTCTACGCCATGTTCCTCACGTGTCGATGGCAACCAATAAATTAAATATTTAGCAACAAAAGGGAAAATTTTAGTCACCTCTTAAATTTTCAGCCCTGGAAAAATCTCATCCAATCCGTTTGAACTTCCTGTCCTTAATGAGCTGGTCCCGAATCATCCATCAAACTGCCCCCCCCCCCCCCCCCCCCCCCCCCCCGGAGAAAGGGATTTGTTCCTTTGTGTTTTCAAAATCTAGCATGAAAAACATCTCCTATTGCACCTTGTGGGACTAAAAGGATGGGAAGAGGTATTTGGAGATTTGAGTAGGTTGGCGCTTCACTGCTCAGTGACAAAAACATTCAAATCTTTAGCTGAATCTGTACGTGCAACGCATTTGCACATGTTGAGCTCTTTGCATCAAATTTGCAAATGTGCAATTCTTTAGGCTCTTTGGTTACAAAGTGTCTCATTATGTCTTCATTAGTTCACAACGAATTCTCATTTTATTTGCAACGTTGAAAATCAGATTCCACTTTTTTTTTTGTCTCCAGTCAGTCACAGCTTCGTTTTGATGGGTTGCCCATATCTACATCTCGGGTTTCCTGCAACAACTGACCCGTGCAATGACTTGGGACATTTTTATAATTCCAGCGATGCAAAAGTGAGGCCCTGCGACTCCGGGCAGAAAATGGAGAACCTTAGCTCAGCCAGTAGGATGCACTTAAGTCGCTGATCACATTTAGGAGGCCCTTGCAGCAACTAACTTCCTGAAACTGAATGCAAAAAACTTTGTGATATTTGGAAATTAGACTTGATTAGATATATTTTTAATCAGCTAAATAATAGTCAATATTTCAAAATCTTTATCAGTTGTGTTTTATCCTAACACGTTATCCCCTGCTTAAGACAGGAAGTGGCCGTGCTTTGTGGTTCTGTTAGGTTCTACTAACACCACCGGTGATCTGAAGAGCAGAGCGACCCGAGTTGATGTTGATTCATAGATTGATCAGACTGTTTGTCTTTTTGACAACAGGAAGCTCTTCTTCGACCCCGTTCTCAACTCCACGGCAGCCACTACCCCCACCCCTGTCCTTGCCCCCTTTCTCAGGGACGCAGTCCTCCTGCCGCAGCCCGCAGACCTCCAGACGGCAGGTAGGGTCATCCGTAACCGGTTCCAGAGCTGTCTGATTGTTGCCTCAGGACAGGATTAATGATCAGGGAGAGCCACGAGGACACGGCGTCATCGTTCTTTTCTGTATTTGTGCAGAACTCCACCTGTGAACTCAACTCTTCCTGCGGGGGGAAAGACCCTCTGTGGAGCCCCTCCTCTTTGTGTGGCATGGCCACACCCCCTTCCTCAAGGGGCATGTCGCCCAACTTGGAGCTCTCCCACAGTTCCTCGCTCCTTCCCAGCCGCTTCCACTGCACATCGGGTACGAGTTTGATCATCTCGAGGTTTGTGTTTTTCCTGAACCGGATTTTAATTTTCCCTGGATTGTTTTTCACTCCAAGCAGGAGGGAAAGGAACGCCTGCCTCCAGCACTCCAGCCACCTCCTCTCCACCTCCCACTCTATCAGATGATTTCCCTATCATCTCCTTACCAGCCAGCACCGTCCAGTCCAGTCCTCCGAGAAAAGTAAGAGCTCTTGAGTTTTCCCGCGGAAACCAGAAACAAACTGAAAATAGAGAAAATTAAGATGTTTTTGTTTTATTTGACCAAAGAAACGTGATACTCAAAAAACAATGTAATTAATAAATAACTGAATGTTTTTCATTGTTTTATTTTATTTTCAGGATCGTCGGCAAGGGGAAACCAGTAAACCTGGACTGGTGAGACAGGAACAAGTTAGAGACACAGAGACGTCCACCAACCGAGGTTAGACACAACCTGATGTTCATTTTATTCTTTCAAAATAAAAGTCCTCACAAATACAGGGTATCCGCGGGTCCTGAAAAAGTCTTAAAAAGTCTTAAATTAGCTTTTCCAAATTTAAGGCCTTGAAAATCCTTAAAAATGACTAATAATCCTTAAATACAGTTTCCAGAGGTCTTAAATGACCAAAGACCCAATAAACAAGATTCTTATATTTCTATGAAATGTTCGTGAATTTCTAGTTGGTGTTCAGCGTTTTTTGTGTACGACGTTGGCGTAAGCGGAACCGTACACGTTCAGTTGGTTGTGAAAGGGGGCTATTTTTAGATGAGCACATTAGCTGGTTAAGCTAGTGGGAGCTAGCGCCATGGGGAAGTGCAAGTTTAATGGTAACTGGATGGTTAATCCCACGTTCGTGACGTGGTTAGCACCGGTTCCAGTCAATAGCTGGAAATTGTAGCTTAAATTTAATTTTAAAAATAGCTTAAATTTGGTCAAAGTGGCCTTAAAAAAGGTCTTAAAGAGTCTTACATTTGGCTCCCTTAAACCTGCAGATACCCTGCAAATAGATGGCATGCATAAGAGCAGCAAATAAAGCAAAGGCAAAGTCAAATCTCAAAGCCAGTCGCTTTGGAGCTCTATTACTTTTTGGGTGGAGTCAAACTTTTGTTTCCTGTTACATAAATGTACAATACGTGTAAAGTTTTCAGGGTTCTTAAAGGTGCTTGAAATCCTTTAAAAGGGTTTGAAATTATTGTGGGTTTTGAAACATTTTTCTTTAGGTTAATCCTAATGTGGGCTGTGGTTAAAGATAATAACAAATGTGGAAAGCCACAGTGTAAACTTCCTTCACGTTTATGTTGGCGTGCACTCTTCATGTGTGTAAAGTAGTGGTGTGCATCTCTACCTGCCTCACGATTCGATCCGATTCCGATTATCTGCCTAACGATTCGATTTGAGTCTGAAATGCATCACGATTCTTCACACAAAAATTTTTCATTACTTAATAAAAGCAGTAGAATAGTTTTCAATTTCTTTTTGATTTCGAAATCCCTGAAAAACAGAACATTCATCTATTCACTATAGTGAGCAATAATGTTTAAAGTGTGCTGCCTATAATTACTTAAATAATATAAGAAATAGGGATGGGTACATTTGACATTTGAATTGATTCGGTACTAATTCCCGGTACCTAGGAATCAATATCTGTACTTAACGGTACCAATTTTCGATACTTTTGAGTGTTTAAAATTGTAATTCTCTTTTATAATAAAATATATATTTTTCTCAATATATAACCATATTTGATAAATATCACGATGAATAACATACAACTGTTTGTATTTTAACATCGTCCTTGTAGTTTTATAAGCTGATAATTAAACTGAAGCAAACATCTTTACTGTGAACTAAATTTACTGTGTATCTTCATTCCTTTTGCCGTCTTTTTTCATTTGATTTTTCCTACTGGGAAGTTAGAATTTCCGAGGAGAAAGCGAACGCACCATTAGCTGATAACAATGGTGGCAATGGAAGCTAACATACCAAGCTAACATTATCTTAAACAGTTTACTTAGCTGCTGGAGCAGATTAAAACGATGATGCCTCACACTTAGATCGTTGTCGCTGGTTTCATCTTCACCCAATCACCCGTCGCATTTAGTTAAGTGAAGCCAAACTTTAGAGCGTGTTCATGTTCTTCTAGTCGGAAATTCGGAGTGCCGAGGAGAAAGCGAATGCACCATTAGCGAAACGGAAGCTAACAAATCAAGCTAACGTTATCTTACATTTTCTTTACCTACCGGAGCAGATTAAGATGAGGATGTCTCACTTCGATCGTTGTCTGTCGCTGGTTTCATCATCACCCAGTTACCCATCACATTTAGTGAAGTGGACCCAAGCTTTAGCGTGCGTTCCTTCTACCATGCTGCTCTGTTTACAACTCGCTTGCAGCGACCGATGACTTAACGCTCTTGCGCATGCGCAGCTGTCTAGGCAAGTTCTCGTTACGAAGGACGGGTACCGAAACGAGGCACTGTTTCAAATGACGTGAATCAGTGCTCGGCTGGTACTATGGAATTCGGTCGGTACCTTAAAAAGTACCGAATTCGGTACCCATCGCTAATAAGAAATAATGTTTTCGGTAGAGCAGCTTTAAGATAGAATATTACTGAACTTAAACATAGTAAACAAATACTGTGTTAAGTGATTCTTTCACATCCAGGTTCCCAAAACCGAAATTAGCCCAGACATCCGATTTAAATGTAACGGGTACATCTTTGATTACTGGTAATGTTGGCCCTGTATCCCTGTCCACCTTTTCTGTTTTAAATTGGCGCTAGGGCAACGCAGCGCGCATGTCATTGCAACTCTGCCCCCAGAAGTAATTATAAAACCTCAAAACTTTATTGTCCTGCATAGACATAGACCAGGGGTCGGCAACCTGTTCCCATCAAAGATCCATTATTACCCGTTTCCCACAGTAAAGAAAACACCGCAGCAGCCGCGGCGTTGTGGGCGGGGCCTACCCTCAGACAGCAGAGAGCTGCTCACAACAGGTGACAGCAGCCGGTACCGGTCGCTCGTGTACGTCAAAGTTATCTTTCATAAGACGATGATCAATAAAACGATTTATATAAAGTGGATCCAGAAGTTGTAGCCCGTCTCTGCCGACAATATTTAGATATTTTTCACCCTGTTGGTGGTTTTACTGAGCAGGTGCCACTTTTGTCATACGTTTCTTTTTAAAACATGTTTAGACTGTTCAGAATACAAATCCAGGCTTTGTCACGTTTGATTGTTGTAATTAAACTTTGTAGGTGGGGAAGGTCAGAAAAGGATCCGATCATTTTGTTTTTCCCTCATTTACAGTGACGGAGATAACGGTGCAGTGCGCCTGGCTCTGGTGTTAATCAAGTTAAATTATATCTCTTTGTGACAATTTACACAAGAAAACAGAACAGTTAAAAGCAGGGCTTTTGTTGACCGGACAGTTCCCGTATTTAACCGTTTATTTTGACGGAGAAAGAATAGAAAGAATTACCCCGACGCATGCAGACGAACTGACACTTTATTCTACGCACATCGCAGATGTAGCTAAATCACTCAAGAAAAGATTCCCATCTGAACATCTGAGCTGGACACTGCTCAGCGCAGCTCACTGTCAGCGCGTACATAAGGTGCACAGCGAGCTGAAGATGTGGAGAGGGGCTTGGAGCGCGTCGCAGAACCAGAGCGCATGCGGGAAGGTTCTTCCCACTGAAGCGAGAGTTTTCCAAACCCGGTCTCTCAGAGAGACTTGTCACTTAGAAAATGTTCCCTGATGATGAAACTTTGGCTGAATTGTGCTTGTTCCTGTCTCCAATGTGGCGTCTGAGGAGAATCCCAGAATCTCACATCGTCTTCAGCTCAGGAAGTGCCTATATGATTACGCACAAGCGTGACGCGTCAACCCGGTCTCACAGTAGACCGGGTTGGAACTGTTCAGGTTTACGCAGACAATCTTTACATTTAGAATTAGCATACAGATATAAAATTAATGCAGTAAAATATAAAGCATTTTATTTAAATATCCATTCATTATTTTACAAGCACAGAGAGCCGCATCAGATGGATGGAAGAGCCGCATGCGGCTGCAGAGCCGCGGGTTGCCGACCCCCGACATAGACATAGGGAGAGAATCTCATTATGCCACGTTGCTGCATCGATGCGGAATCATGCACGGCTGAATCGCGATGCATCTTAGAATCGATCATTTTTCCCACCTCTAGTGTAAATCATGGGCGGTCCTGGAACAAACTTAAAAGTGCTTGAGTTTGAGCCTAATAAATGTGATTTTTAATTTTAAACTTTTAACCCATTCATTTTCTAAATAGTTTTTCTTGCCTTTCTTGTTGGTAACTTGTTGAATTTCACATGTGCTCTTTATGCATTTTTGTAATAATCAACTAACTCTTGTAAAATAAATGGGAATAATTTTCTATCTTGCCTGAATTTACCATAACCTTAATGTGAACACTTTTGTTTTAATTGTCTTTTATGAACATTTTTGTGGTTTTTCCGTTCATCAGATGCAGGAAGTGTGGCGAGCATCTCCATGACGCTTACGGAGCTGTCGGTGTTCATGAAGAAGCAGGAGCTGGAGCTTCAGCTGAGGACAGAAAAGGAGAGAGAGGAAGGTGAGTGTGGAGCTGCAAAACTCGCTCTTAACTCATTCACTGCAAATGACGACAAAAGTCGTCATTAGCATGTTTTTACTGTGTGGGCGTCGGACGAGCCCCCGCACCGTGAGAACAAACATCTCAGCCTTAAAGCCGATCTTCATCCGCATACGTCACACGTCACGTGATCAGGAAGCAGAACATCCATGTGTTAGGAGATCGTTTTGGGCCGCTGCCGTAAAAAAAGTGAGGCGCGAACCGGAAAAGCTTCTGCCGATCACAATTCAACAACGGATTATGAAAGAACGGATAACGCTCAAAACGCACAGATTCTTCCTGATGTAAGAGGTGAGTCTCTGCTTTGTTTTGGTTGTTTTGGCGTCAACATCATCCTAACGCGCAACGTTCTGTCACTCTTAAAAAACAGTAAAAACGGTGAGAAACGCTGGCTGCGAATGAGTTAAGAAAATTTAACAAAATCAAGTGAAAATAAAAATAAAACATATTTATTTAAGGAATAATGAGGATTTATTGTGTCTAATAGGTTCTATATTTTATATTTTGCACCTTTTCTGCTGAATGAGCGTGAGCTCATGTTCTTTAAATATCTAATATATTATTTTCTGTCTGGTTTGCTCTGCAAACACAGTCACAGGTTGTTCACCTGTCGCGAGCGTGTACTTTTATTGGTTCCGTTAGAACCTTAGAATACGCTGTGTTTTCAGGGAGGTTGAGGCCGCAGGTGAGTTTTATCGTACTGACCCTGGTTTGGACTCCCTACTTAGAACTCGTTTTCTAGTTTAAGGTGGACTGAAGATTGTCGTACTTGTTCTGTCACGGTTTGCCTCTGCAGTAACCCATTTGCAGGAATAAAGATCCTTTATCCAGAGTTCAAAAAAGATTTAATAAACAAAACTTCCTCCACTGACTGTGGGAACCAAAACCAAAACCAAACTCAATCCATACAAGTACAACTCAGCAAAGACAACTCCACACCGATGACTGGCAGCAGTGGCCTGAAATAGGGTGAGGGCAATCAAGATGATGTGGTTCAGCTGCAGCACTCCAGGAGGTTCACAGGGAAGGGGAGGATTCCTGAGAGGAGCTGCAGCTGACCTGAACAAAAACAACAGAGAAAAAGTTAAACACAAACACAAAAAGGGGCGAATCATAACATAACCCCCCTCACAAAGTCCGGCTCCCAGACGGACGTCTCGGCTGGGTGGGGTGTTCCCGGTGAAACTGATCGATCAGATCACGGCTGAGGATGTGGCGTTCTGGGACCCATTGCCTGTCCGCCGGGCCGTAACCCACCCAGTCCACGAGGTATTGGACGCCCCTGCCCACTCTCCTCGAGGCCAAGAGCTTATTCACGCTGTAGACAGGACCGCCATCCACAACGCGGGGAGCTGGAGGGACCGCAGGTGGCGTCTGCAGGGGACAGAGTTTCTCAGGCTTCAGCTTGCTCACATGGCACACAGGGTGGACTCTCAGTGCCCGAGGGAGCTCCAACCTGACGGCTACTTGGTTGATGACCTTGGTGATGGGGAAGGGTCCGATGAATCGGGGCCGCATCTTCCTGGCACCCCCCTTCAGTGGCAGATCAGCCGAAGAGAGCCAAACCCTGTCACCCACCTTGTACTCCGGAGCAGCAGACCTCCGGCGGTTAGCCACGGAGGTGAACCGTTCCTGGTTCCGAACCAGTCGGGAACGGTACTCAGTCCATGTACGACGGCAGCGCCTCACGAATGCTGCAGGACCGGAGGTGGAAGCCGACCTCTCCTGATGGGGGAAGAGAGGCGGTTGGTACCCGTAGGCAGCCTGGAAGGGGGAGAAGCCAGTAGAATTAACCAGGGTGTTGTGCGAATACTCAGCCCAGGGGAGTTGAGAGGACCAAGTCTGGGGGTTCTTCAGGCACATAGCACGCAGGGTGGTCTCCAGATCCTGGTTAAAGCGCTCTACTTGACCATTTGTCTGAGGGTGGAAACCAGAGCTCAGACTGACCGTTATTCCAAGGAGTCTGCAGAACTCTTTCCAAAAAGCTGCAACAAACTGGGGTCCTCGATCCGAGGTGATGTTCTCCGGAAGTCCGTGCAGCCGAAAAACATGCCGCACCACCACCTCCGCCAGTTGCTGAGCCGATGGCAATCTCTGCAGGGGTATAGCATGCACCATCTTTGAGAACCTGTCCACTACAGTCAGGATCACAGTCTTACCCTTAGAGTCGGGTAGTCCAGTAGGGCTGCAACAAACGATTATTTGGATAATCGATTAATCGGATGGGGTCTCGACACGATTAATCGATTAATCGGATTACATGGGGAAATTTTTAAAAACTGCTAGGGAAACGTTATTTCTCTCCTTCCTTCACTTTATTTAACACAACATTATTAGAAAACAGTTCAATAGCAGAAAAACAACATGCCATCACCTAAATTGTCTTATAAGGTGTATAGACAGAGACCCTAAGCTACATCTATCTGTGACCTAAAATGCTTGGTCCAAGTTAAACAGCTTAAGGGCAATTCTCATCTGTTTTGTTTGATCTCATCTGTTGACATTTATTTTAAATGTAATTAAACATAGGCTGTGAATTTATCAAAATTGATCACTATTTCCAAAAATGACTGAAAAAATACCAAATAAAACAAAAGTAAATGAATGCCATCCTCCTTGCGATGATGCCCTGGGCAACTGCCATAAAGTCACATCAAGAAATGCTGCTGATCATTCCAATGATCCCAAATAGACTCACATTAGGCCACATGAAAGCAACTGAACCCAAAATATATTAACCAGTATATAACTGCACTCTCACACAACACGCCTGCAGCAACAGTTAGGACTCCTCCCTCCCTTTTAAAAGCGTTTTTGCTTCTGAGGACATTGTGGTTGTAAAACCACATGCTAGTAGTCTGGCCCCGGTGTGATCAACCAGTTTCTGCGGGAATGTGACGGCGGAAACTGGGCCAGATTAACACTTTGTTGTACCCTGGGCAACAATATTCAAGGGCTCCATCATCACGACCCAAGGATCACCATAATGTGGTCACATACAGAATATTTTACTGTAATATGCAGTAAATATACTCAATACTTGAATGCCTGACAACACGTAACCCGCCCAGAGTAACCTTTGACCCACCTCGTGTGGACTGACCAATGAGGAGAGGGTCTTAACTTGAGGCCCTCTCTTCATTGGTTAGTCTGCATGAGACTGACTCTCAACTGACGTTCAGTCGTAGGCAGCGAAGCGTCTCTGTGCAGTGCAAAAGCCCGGGTGGACAGTTTGTTTAATGTAGGGTGACCATATTTCCATTTCCAAACAAGAGGACAGTGATCTGTGCCTATGACGTCACACTATGGCAACGCCACACAAACCATGTTGGGACCCATTTTTTGTAAGAACTAAATTAATATCAGATTCTGCCAATTAAAGGGCTCTAAAACAATTCATATGTAAATATTTTGCATATTTAATGCAAAATCTAATTTTTCTGCTTTAGTGTTGCAACAAGGTTTTATTAATAATAAATTACTATACCTTTTGTTTTACTACAGCATCGGTAAGCTTCCTGTGCACAGATTATTAAGGATGCTTGTTTCAACTGTGAGATTAGACGATAGGATCAATGAAAAAATAAGTTGTCACACACTCCATGGAAACTTTCAGAGAATCCACAAATAGTGGCTTTCAAATGGTTTTGTTACTTTTTGCAAGTTTATAAAATAAGCAGATGAGACAGCATGTCTGATAATTTAGTTTTTCATCTGATAATATTAGAGCATGTCAGTAATGTCTGAGGGGCTTTTATAAACACTGTATAACTAACACTACTGGAGAGGGCATGAATTACACAGAGGCTTCTGGGGAGCCCAGTTATTGGGGGGGGGGGGGGGGGGGCATTTTGCCTTGGCCCCCAAAATGTCTTGAAACGGCCCTGGGTGTGTGACTGAGTTTTGAAGGTGATCTGAATTGTATCAGATGTATAAATATGACATGTGTATAACTTATTGTTTTTTACTGGTAAAAACGTGTCGTGGAGATAAATCTACCTACATTTTACTTTTCAACACTTTGTTTTGTTTTCTTGTTTTTATTGAACTATTTTTCTGTCCTGTCTGTCTCTCATCTTCCTGCATCTCCTCTTAATTCTCCAGAAAATCTGTTGCCTGGATTCTTACCTTTTCACCTCATCAGTTACTTTTGAGCAGGTCAAAGGGATCTCCTGACCGAAAAGCGCAGAGCGCGTTTTCGATGCTGCGTGAGGTGAAATCACCGCAGCACAGGTGATGAGCTCCGCAGTAGCGCGCTTCAGGCACAAATAAGACAGAAAATAGAGAACATGTGCGGACATGAACGATCGTGTGCTAATTATAGTTTTTTGGTTGCGCCACTTTGAGAATGGACCGTGCGCTGGAAGCAGCTGCCTGGATCGCTGTGCAACAATGCGGAACCGGTTCGCAGCAGCTCAAGTCTGCCGGCTCTCCCTCGCGCTGATCTGCGGCTCTCCCTCGCGCTGATCTGCGGCTCTCCCTCGCGCTGATCTGCGGCTCTCCCTCGCGCTGATCTGCCGGCTCTCCCTCGCGCTGATCTGCGGCTCTCCCTCGCGCTGATCTGCGGCTCTCCCTCGCGCTGATCTGCGGCTCTCCCTCGCGCTGATCTGCGGCTCTCCCTCGCGCTGATCTGACTTGCTCTGGTCTGCGCGCAACGGCGGGCGGGAAGGGGGGGCGCTTTTGGAAGAGTTGTGCGACACAACGAATCGATGACGCAATTCGTTGCCAACGCTTTTAGTAATCGATTTTCATCGAATTTATCGATTCGTTGTTGCAGCCCTATAGTCCAGTGATGAAGTCCATTGCAATGTGGGACCAAGGTCTGGAGGGAACAGGTAGAGGTTGCAGGAGTCCAGCCGGAGGAGTTCTGGGTGACTTGACGCTGGCACACACTGGGCAAGAGGAGACAAAAGCTCGAACGTCAGACGACACCGTAGGCCACCAGAACCGCTGCGCTACCA